GGGGCCGTGGGTGCGCTGGTGCAGCAGCAGGTTGGAGGAGTGGGTGAAGGTCTTGGGGCAGAGCGGGCAGCGGAAGGGCCGCTCGCCTGTGTGCACGCGCTGGTGCTGCCGCAGGTTTGTGCTCTGCGTGAAGCTCTTGCCACACACGCCGCAGGTGTAAGGGCGCTCGCCAGTGTGCACGTGCCGGTGGCGCCGCAGGCTGGATGAGTTCTTGAAGGCCTTGGGGCAGTCGAGGCACAGGTAGGGGCGCTCACCTGTGTGCTGCCGCAGGTGGTACTGGTAGTGGGACGACCATTTGAAGGCCAGGCCGCACTGGCCACAGGTGAAGGCCCGCAGGCCTGTGTGCACGCTGCGGTGGATCTGCAGCAGCGAGGAGCGTTTGAAGGCCTTGGGGCAGTCGGGGCACTGGTAGGGCCGCTCGCCAGTGTGGCCCCGCTGGTGGTAAAGCAGGGCTGAGGAGCCCTTGAAGGCCTTGGGGCAATCCGGGCACTTGTAGGGCCGCTCGCCTGTGTGCGTGCGCTGATGGTGCAGGAGCCGAGACGACCACCGGAATGACTTGCCACACTCCCCGCACTCATACTGGGCCGCAGGGGCGGGGGCCGCCGGGCCAGGCTTCTCCCCGGCCCCGTCCGCGGTAGAGGCAGGCGCCATGTCCGCGTGGGAGCCAACCATCACACCTGGTGGAGGGATTCCGGATCAGAGTGGGTAGGCACTGAACTTTTAAGGGACAGGGGTTGCAGAGAGCCCTTATCAGGATTAGGGTTTACAATGGCCCACGTTTTACCTGAGACTAAGAGAGGAGTAAGGGGGTCCCTGGGATGTGAGACTTCCGGTGCTAAAACTTCCCAGCAAACAGATCAGCCACCTCCCAGCATGCTGGCCATGTCCTCCAGGAGGCCAGGGAGGTCCGAGAAGGCTGAGCGCTGCCTTCGGGCCCACTCTGGTACCCTCTAAAGTTGGAAGCCTGGCTTCCCGTGTCCACTCCACTTCAACACTGGCTCTTCCTGTCACACCCTGAACCATTCACTCTCCAGGCCCTCAGAGAGCCGAGCCGAGCATCCCACTCTACCACCAGAGCATCCCACTCTACCATCCATCCACTCCCGCAGTTCTGCCCTCGCCCAAGAGAAGTGCTGCTGAGGACCCTGCAGTCCCTTGCATAGCGAAAGCGTAGGGGCTGTCTGTGCACTCCTGCCCGCCTCCCTCTCCAACTCACACACATTACTCTGCTTCACGCACTACCCTGGGTGACTGCCTGGCATGCTTCTTTTCTCCTGAAGCCTCCAGCACTTCCTTTTCCCTCCTTTCCCTTGCCATCAATCATACTAGCCACCAAGAGACTGTCTCCACGTTCCAATCACCACACCAGAGGCTCTCAACTGGGGCAGATGTCCTCCCATCACCAGACATCTAATGATGCCTGGAGACACTGCTGCCTGTCAGCCAACTGGAGGGGCCAGTGCTACTAGCATTTAGTGGGTGGAGAGATCTGGATGCCTCTCAACACCCTATAATGCACAGGACAACCCTCCCAACAAAGGTGGACCTAGTCCAAAATACGAATGCAGTCCAAAATGTCAGGCTGAGAAACTGCACTATGGGTCCCATCAGCCCCTTCCTGGGCCAAGACTTGGAGCTCCCACTGCGTTCTGGAACTTTCCTCTCTCCAGGACCGTGCCTGTCAGCATGACACAAACCATGTCTCCCATTTTTTTAAAAGAAACAAAAAATTCTTCACCCCATTTCCCCCTCCAGCTACAGCCTCTCTTCTCTGCAGCCCTTTACAGCAGAGCAGAGCCTGCACTTCCCACCTTAGGCCACTTCAGTTACACACTTGCCCTGTCCCCTGCTGCTAAATCCTAGTGCTCAGCCCTCAACTCCTTCTTCCAACCACCTCCCCTGGCTTCCAAGAGCCAGGTCTCCTCCTCTCTCACCTGTGGCTGTCTCAGTCCCTAGTTGGGTCCTGCTTGTCTTGGTGACTTGCTGCACCCCTATCTGCCCTCTCCCCAGGAACTCGCAGCCCCTAGTGGCTTCACACCCTAGGAACATGTGACTCCAAACATGTACCTCTGCCTGAGACTCCACTGCTCCACATCCCCTGCTAGACTGTGCCAGTTGAGGTGCTGGGGATGGAACCCACAGCATCACACAGGGTAGGCAGTGCTCTACCACTGACCTACATTCCCCAGGCCCTCCCCTCTTTTAAACTTTATTGAGACAGTCTCACTAAGTTCCCCAGGCTAGTCTCAAACTTGTGATCCTCCTGCGTTAGCCTCCCAAATAGCTGGGATTATAGGCGCACACTACAATAACGGCTCAGCTTTAAAACTTGGACATCTAATAGCAAAATCTAATCCAGCTTTTTGCTCCTGTGCGCCCCCCCTCAAATTAGGAATTAAATGTCCTACTCAACCATAGTCTTCTCTGAAAACAGGGGTGCTATTCTTCAGGCCTTGGGTCCTCCTCACCTCTCTCTCTCTGCCGCTCCAGCTCTCATTCAGTATAACCAACCCGTCAGCAGATTCCTCTGCTCCAGTGAGAACCGAGTCAGAATGTGACCACTTCTCACAATCCCCACCTTTGTCTAAGCACTGCCATCTCTCTCCTGGGCACATGTGACCCCCTAACAGACTGCCATTTTCCTTGCCATCCTGCCCCAGTCCATTCCCAACACTGCAGCTAAAGGAACCTTCATTAGAGAAAACTGGGCATTTCATCCCTCTGTTCAAAGACTTCTGCAGATTCCCACTTAAGAGCAGAAAACAAATCCCTTACAAGACCCTGCTGACTTCCCACCCCTGGGGCCTCAGCCCCTTGCTGGCTTGTTCTGCTATACACCTCCATTCTCATCACTCCAGCCTACCAACCAGGAGGGGCAGGCTGCTCCCATCTCCTACCCCTCACCTCCAAGTCCTCACTGAAATCCCCTCTATGAGGCCTTCTCCAATTGCCCTATTAAATCTGCAGTCCCTTTCAACTCTCCCCATTTTCTCCTCCTACCCCATTTTCCCTCTAGAGCATTTATCACCTTCTCAGTACTATACAGCCAATGTTTCTCAACCTCAGCAGTAAAAACTAGGATTGCACCATTTGCCAAAGAGCACATCCTGTGCATACTGGGCTGAGCATGGACCTGGTTCCACCCTACTAGATGCTAGTGGCAACCACATCCCTGCAGCTGTGACTATCAAAATGATGCCTGACTGACCATTATCTATTAAGCACCCCTCCTCTACAATGTTTACAAAATTCACTACTGCACTTCAGGTCTTTACTGCACCCCTCACCCAGGGAAGGACCATCACCCCCTCCCACTGACAACCACTGCTACAGAATGCCTGGAGCTTCCTGTTTTATTCTGCGTCCCCATGCCAGAATGCCATGAAAACAGGCACCTTTGTCTTGTTCACTGCTGTATTCCAGTTTCTGTATTAACATCTGTCTGGCAGTGATTAACATCTGTGCTCAGTAAGCATATATTACATGAATGAAGGCTGAATATTCCCTTTAGACAAGTATAAAGATCTCCTTTTAAAAAGATGAATATCGGCTGGGGCTGTAGCTTAGTGGCAGAGTGCTTGCCTAGCATGTGTGAGGCATTGGGTTTGATCCTAAGCACCACATGAAAATAAATAAATAAATAAATAAATATTAAAAAAAAAAAAAGATGAATGTCAACTGGGCGTGGTGGCAATGGCTTGTTATCCCAGCAACTCAGGAGGCTGATCCCAAGTTTGAGGCTAGCCTGGGCAACTTACAAAACCCTGTCTCAAAAAATAAAGAGCAAAAAAGGTCTGGAGATGGAGCTCAGTGATAGAGCGCCCCTAGATTCAATTAAAAAAAAAAAAAGACGGAGGTCCAGTTTAAACTGTAAGCAGGGGGGCTGGGGATGTGGCTCAAGCGGTAGCGCGCTCGCCAGGCATGCGTGCAGCCCAGGTTCGATCCTCAGCACCACATACCAACAAAGATGTTGTGTCCGCCGAGAACTAAAAAATAAATATTAAAAAAATTCTCTCTCTCTCTCTCCTCTCTCACTCTCTCTTTAAAAAATAAAAAATAAAAAATAAACTGTAAGCAGGTCCTCTAAAGGGACTAAGGATCCCAAGAAGCTGCACACATTTTTGAGAACCCAGCCTCTTAAAACGCGAAATGCCCACGCTCTGAAGGTAACAGGGATCCACCTTAGCAATCCAGAGAGCGTGCCCTTTAAAAGGCCAGATCACCCCTTCCAACAGGCTAGAATTTCCCTTTAAGGGGATGCGCTTGCTGCATGCTCATCTCTACCTTTGTTCAGCAAAACTACTATCGTTTTGAAGGCACCAGGACTATGGAGTTTTACCTTGAATGTCTGAGAAACTGTCACTGGACTTTAATTTGACAATCTCCTTTTCACAGGAGGTAAAATCAGCGGGAAAGTTTAGAAAATGTAAACCCTGCCCCGCCCTCTAAACGCATCTCCGAAGCCTTTAAGAGGGCGGAGCCGGACAAACGGACAAAAGTCGGAGGCGAAATAGAGAACTTCCCTTTAAGGCGCCCCTTCCGGTTTCACGCTCGCCGTTTTCCAAACGACTCCGCCCTCCAGCCCCTCCCCCACCCCGCCCTCCGGTCTCTCACCTGCGGCCCCGGTCCGGAGGACGAGGCGGGAGGCCCAGGAGCTCCCCGCGGGGGCCGACGGGAAGGGGGGCCCGGCACGGCGCCGCAGTAGCGGGGGCCGGGGAGGGGCGGGGGCGCGCTCCCTCCCGACGGCCCCCGGCGCGAGGCACCCAACCTTTATCGGCGGCCTCTTGCGCACACAAACCCCGACTCGCGTCGCGCGTCATGACGCACGCGCCGCGCCTGGCCCCGCCCCCGGCCACGGCCTCGGCGCTGCGGAGCGGGGGCGGAGAGGGTTGGCGGGGAGGCGGTGCCAGAGCGGCGCGGCGCGTCCTGCGGTGCCCCGGGACTGTCAGCCAGCGCGCTTCGGGAGTCCTCCCACCCGCTGCTGGCGTGGGCGCTCCGGCGGGGAGACGGAGGCCGAGTCCCCGGCACCGACCCGAGCTCCCTCCCGCCTGGCCTGCTCCAGCGCCACTCGTCCAGCCGCAGGGCAGGTGTCTCAACCTGGACACCCGTGACAGTGGCTTGGGTCGTTCTTCTGTTGCGTTGTAGGATGGTCAGCAGCAGCCCGGGCCTCCACCTGCTAGATCCAGTAGCACCAACTACACTCACATGCCTCAGTTTGCCTGGAACTCTGAGCCGATTTAGACCCACTTTGGGCTTGGGTCCTGTCTGCAAGCATTCCTGCGGGTAAAACCCATGACAACCCGCTTAGCTCAGACATTCCTCTCACTTTGGCTTTTAAAACACCCATCAAAACATAATGGAGGCTGCAGGGCTGGGTTGGGTTAGTGGATGTGGAGGGTAGGCCCAGGGATGTGGGTTCCACTGTCTTCCGCCTTGGCTTAGTCCTCCGGGGATTCCTGCAGTGATGAAGAGATCTCAACTCAACCCCTTTTACCGGAGGTGTTAACAAGGGAGGGGGGAGAGGCTCTGCCCTCCTTAGCATTCTATGCTTTGCAGTGGAAGGTGGTCAGAGGTCTAGAAGTGGCCTTGAGCAATAGGCTTTCACTAAAAAGGTAATGCACATTCAACAAGTTGGTCTTAAAAAACACAGAACAGTGTCTTGGAACCAAGGAGGGAGGAATGTTCAGCATTTGCCAAGCCAAAGAGTAGTCTTGGGACATCATCACCCCATCCCACATCAGTTCTGTGCTTGACCTGTCTTTGAACCCTTGTATGTAGAAACCTCTGTTAGCTCTGCATCTCGTACTTACAAGAAAACGGGGAATCCAGGAGCTGAAGTCACAAATAAGATAACAAAATCATCATTGCCCATTCCAGTCTTGAGGTTCATGAGGTGAAACCTCTGAAAGAGAAGAAGGAGAACTCTTGGAAATTGGACTAGAAGCCATTTGTGTTACATTCTGGCAAAGAAGTTGTCTACATTTTGTCCATGTCCTCAGACTTTTTGTGAGGCTGAATTCAAAGGTGATGAACTAATTAATCTATTGGAGGAAATTTCAAGGCAGCACAGCATTCAGGTAGTGATCTGGATATTGCTGGCACTTTTAGCTACTTTACCATGATAATCAGAAGCCGAAAGCAGAGCAGAAAAACTTGAAAATTTTGCAGTATGATTAGAAAACTGTGGGGCTGGGGTGGTGGTTCAGTGGTAGAGCACCTGCCTAGCATGTGTGAGGCACTGGGTTTGATTCTCAGCACCACATAAAAATAAATAAAATAAAGGTCCACTGACAACTAAAAAATATTTTAAAAGAAAGAAAACTGACTAACCATTTTATTAAAAGAGATTATAGCCACTAAAGAGGTGCTAACTGTTTTACCTAGAAAGGTAGGAAAGATGGCTTGAGGGCATTTCAAAAATTAGCAAGACCACACCCATTTTAGGCTTAAGGATATAAAAGTAAACATGCCTTTGAGAAGAGACCCATTGAGGTGCACCGCCTGCTCAGGGAGGCCTAGGAAGTTATTTCACTCTGCTCAGCTGCCCAGACACTGAAGGCAGCAGCTGTGGTCCCATGAGGTTTGGCTATGGCTCAAGATGGTGACAAACCTTGGCATCAACCATGTGGTTGCAGAATACTGTACTTCAGGTATCATGGAAGTTTCCATTAAGATTTTAAAGAACAATCTAGGAGGTAAGGCAAAGTGTAGCAGGGTTGGAATTCCTGCGGCAGCCTCTGAGAGGTCAATGTGCAGATGTGAACAGGAAGCCAAAGCTGCAGTGGAGACCCTTGAGATGCCAGTAATGTGGAAAGTCTGCTGAGGAAAGCTGCAGCAATCCAGCAGAGACGAGCCAAGAGAGAAACCAGGTGGACTGCAACCAGCAATGCCATATGGCTGGACTGCACACTCCCGCTAGAGAGAACACCACAAAGCCATGTGCCCCAGAAGCTGGACATGGAGCTACAGGACTTGTTTGTCCAGCTGAACTTCAGTCTTGTTCTGGTCCCATCCATTCTTTCTGTGTCCCTGGTAATCCCTTGTAGAATGGAAATGTTACTCTGTGTCATGTATTGGATGAATGTAAATTCCTTTTGCTCTTTTAGTTTAACTTGCCTCGAGTCTCATATGAGATTTTGGACTTGTACTTTTGGGCAATGCTAAACTGCTAAGACTATGGGGACTCTTGGAAATGGACTAAATGCATTTCGCATTGTGAGATGGGCATAAGCTTTTGGGGGCCAGAGGCAGAATTTATGGTTTAGATATGAGGTATCTCCCCAAACCCCATGTGAGAGAAAATTCAAGAATTTTCAGAGGTGAAATGATTATTTTATGAGGTATAACATAATCAGAGAATTAATCCACTGATATGGACTAATTGGGTGGCAACTATAGTCCAGGTTGGGTGTAGCTAGAGGAAGAAGGTCACTGAGAAGTGTGCTTTGGAGCTTATGTTTTGTCCCTGGTGAATGGAACGGCTTGCTGTCTCTGCTTCCTGGTGTCATGTCCCGAGATGCTTTCATGCACTCTGCTCTTCTGCCATGATGATCTGCCTCACCTTGGGTCCAGAGCTATGGGATCAGCCATCTGTGAACTGAGACCTCTGAAACCATCAGCCAGAATAAACTTTTCCTTCTCTAATTGTTCTTGTCAGATCTTTTGGTCACAGGGACACAAAAGATGACTAAAAACAACCTAAACAATGTTTTTTTTTCCTTTATTAAAGTGAGAACTTTCACTTTTCACTTTAAAGAGGTACTTTACAGCTTCTCTTTAGCATATTTGAATTACCAGCGACACTGCTCCTGCGCTTTGGGTCCATTACTGTTTAAAACAAGGGCTACTGAAATACAAGCACTTTGATGATATATAATAGTTTGTCTGAGAACAGAGATGGCTACTAAGCAGGCAACCAGTGGGTAGCATATACAGTGGATTAATACGGAGGGAGAAGGCATGAGATTTCATCACACTACTCAGAATGACTCACACCAAGGTTTGCACGTAACTGAGATTGTGGAAAGTGAAACCCACTGAATACCACCAACTGTCCTGGGTCTCCAGCTTGCAGAAGGCAGATCAGGAGTGCTTCCTCTCACCCTCCTCCTGGCTACTCTTGTCCTTCCACCATGATGTCCTGCTCCGTCTTGGGCCCAATTATGGAGTTGGCCAATCATGGACTAAACCTCTGAAACCGTGAGTGCAAAATAAATCTTTCCCACTCTTAATGAAAAGGAAAGAAAGAGGGACTGGGGTTGTAGCTCAGTAGTAGAGCACTAGCCTAGCACATAAAAATAAATAAAATATCCATTGACAACTAAAAGAAAAGAGGTATTATGTTTCATCTACAGCTAAAATTTTTAAAAAAGAAAAAAAGCAGATCAGGAGACTTTCAGCCTCCACAACCACATGAACAAATGTCTTACAATAAGTCTCTTTCTGGAGAGATGTCTATACTGGCTTGTCCACCTATCCATATCTATCTAGATGGACTGATAGGTTAATAAATGGTAGATCCTACTTCTCTGAGAACTCCAATTGATCCTAACTCTAACTGCCCTGGGTGGACCTGACAGACTCAGTCAGGCCCTGGAAGACTGTGCCCACAAGTCAGAGATTGTACTGCTGGCCCCAAGGATGTGAGCCTCCGTGGAATCCACTGATGTAAGGAAACAAACTCTGCCACATGAGCTTGGAAGAGGACCCTGACCTCAGGTGAGACAGAGAGCCTCGGTGACAGGAGCAGAGGACACACATATGTGAGGCCAGAGAGGAGAGAAAGGTAGACGGCAGGGGGGACCTAGGAGGAAGACAAGGTCCATCCAACACATTCAGCATTCAGGCCACAGGACAAGAGTCACCTCCTCAGAACAGGCTTCCCCAGGGCTGGGGTTGTAGCTCAGCGGTAGAGCGTGAGGCTCTGGGTTTGATCCTCAGCACCACATTAAAAAAGTAAATAAATAAAAATAAAGATATTGTGTCTATCTGCAACTAAAAAATTTTTAAAAAGGGCTTCCCCATCTGAAGGGGCCCCACCTGCACCCCCACCTCCATCTCATGGTCCAGTCTTGGCACCACCGCATCGCACACCACCTGACGTTTTCTCATTGCTTGTTTGTGGGCATTTCCCCCCTAAGTTCTGCAGGGACAGCAGGTTGCATCCTCAGTCTCTGCACACAGTAGATGTTGAATGATTAAATCCGCCACCACAGTGTTATGAGGGCTGGCAGAGGGAAAAGAAACCTGGCCAGCACGTGGAAGTGCAGGTCCTGGACAAAGTCAGCCCTCAGCTGTGGGAGAGTTCACCAGCTCAGGGCACAGGAGAAGTAGCCATAAGTCTGGGCCTAGAACCTTGAGCCTGGTCTCCCAGCACCAGCCGAGTCATTGGCGCCCCTGGTGGCGCATTCCCAGGCCAGCGCCTGGAGTAGCAGCCCTGTGTGTTCCTGCTGGCTGTGGAGACAGGGTTGCCATAGATGTTGCTCTTGGCTCCTGGGGCTGGGGAATGCAAGTCAACTCTGGAGCTGGGCTAGCAAAGGCCATGCCTCAGCCATGGTAGCAGCAGCCCTTCCTGCCCTCCAATCCTCCAAGGACATGGGGGCCCACTTCCCTTAGCCCCTGGCCAAGGGGCCCTGGGTCCTCACTTCGGGGCCTGAGAGGGACAGAGACCATGAGGAACATTCAGAGCCTAAGAAACAGACACTGAGAGAGACTGAAACTCAGAGAGCCTCGGTGACAGGAGCAGAGAGGAGAGAAAGGGAGACAGCAGGGGGCCCTAGGAGGAAAGCAAGGTCAGGGAGACAGAGGGCAGCACTGAGGGCACCGGAGGACTGGAGCTCTGAGAACCTGCGAGACAGGGAGGCCCTCGACCCCCCCCCTCCCCCCAGTGCCCTGCCACCGCCCCTTCCCCGTTCCCTCCTCTGGGCCAGTGCTCAGCACCCAGAAGCCAGCCTTCCTGCCAGCTGGAGACCGCAGGGCTCAGTTTCCCCTAAAGACTTGGGCCAGGGGCTGGGGGACGTGTGGGGGTGGGTGGCTGATGAGAAGTCTGCGCACACTCAACCTTGGCGTCCCAGCTCCTTTCAGGGGCTGGCCCCCTTCTCTCCACCCACCACCTGTCCCCTCCCCTGACTCCAATTAAGGGTCCTCAACACTAAGCGCTGAGGTTGACTTGCTCCTGGCCTGGCCTCCTTAACAAGGCCTTTGTCCCCTTAATTGGCTATCTCCGGGCTCTTTTCTCGGTCCCCTCACCTACCAGCCCTGTCCTATATCCCAGGTCCAACTATGTGCTAATTGGGCACCTGGGGGGTACACAGGAAGCTCCTTGGCTCCCAGCCATTTGCCTTCCTACAGCCGACCTTCACCCATGCGTCCCTCAAGCCTCAGGCCCAGCTCCGGGAAGTAGGGACCATGTTAGGGATCAGAGGGGGCCCTTACCTTTGCTCCCAGGGTTGACCCCAACCTCAGAGCTGCCCTGCCCTGGAGTCCCTGGCCCCTCATAGATTTGGGGAGGGCTTTCCAATTAGCACTATCTGGGGAGTGACTTCAGAGTGCCCTGGCCATGCACCCTGGGGTCCCTGCGGCACTGGGGCTCTCTGAGCCTGGTCCCCGAGAGCTGTGTGCTTTTGTGAGTGGGGCAGCGGCCCACATGCTGCGGGCCCTGCAGCCCAGGCGCACCCAGCCACGCAAGAGGAGGCCCAACCACAGGAGGTTCCTGCACAACCAGATCTGCAGGTAGGAGGACAGTGGGAGGAGGGGAAGGTGGGGGGCAGTGGGAGGAGGGGTCAGATGGGGGACAGTGGGAGGAGGGGTCAGGTGGGGGACAGTGGGAGGAGGGGACAGGTGGGAGACAGCGGGAGGAGGGGACAGTGGGAGGAGGGGCCAGGTGGGGAGACAGTGGGAGGAGGGGACAGGTGGGG